CCCACCCTGTATCTTTTTTTAATGCTCTCAATAGACTAAATTCAAGCTATTCAAAGTAGACCAGCAGATCTCTCAAATTCATACTGACTTAAGGTTTCGTTCTCATTATTTGTTTTAACCAATCCGGTCTTGAAAGTTCTTTTCTTTTTTTTTTTTTTACAGCAACGGCTAGTCTGTGAGGAGTAATGCTAGAAAGCGGTGGAATAATTATTTTCCGATACGAAAACAGACTTCCATACTCACACCCTCGAAGATGCATTAAATACGTACGTTTTGTTTTGTTTGTTTGTTTTTATTTGGTGGGGGGGGGGTATGTGTTTTGGTTTGTCTGTTGTTTTGGGGGGATTTGTTGTTTTGTTTGTTTGCTGTTGTTGTTGTTTTCTTTTTGTTGTTATCACAAATCTGACAATCAAAGGCAAAGAACTATATGACATTAAAAGGCAAGTTTTCCTCAGGTGTGGAAAGTCGAACCGTTAATTATTTCAGCTGTCCTTTTATATCTTACGATGAAAGGTCTTCAATGCTGTGGGGTTATTGTCGCTGGGCTCTCGTTCTAGACCCTGCTACCTCTGTCATTTCGTATCGTTAAGTTGTAGAGAGAGTTTTACGTACGGCACTTGTAACACAAATAGGTTATATATGTGTCAAAGATTAGAGATATTGCCAGAGAATAAAGTACATGTACATAAAAAGGAGGGGAGATAAGGACGATAGATGTTTGAGAGGAAAGAAGGAGCAAACCACACCAAAGCAACCACCAACTGTCATTTCATCCCACTTAAACTAATGTTGCGATACATGTTATAATAGACTCTCTGTTTTAAAAAAGACGTATGTGTGGTCTATAGCAGAATCAGAGAAGGAGCAAAACACACCGGAGCAACCACCAACTGTCATTTTATCCCACTTGTGGCGATAAAATAGACTATTTTTAAAAAGACGTATGTGTGGTCTTTAGTAGAATCAGAGAGTTAACTGTAAAACTCTGGTAGAGTTAGACACCCACGAGATTTAATTAAGAATCGGGTTGGGGGGAGGGGGGGGCAGGACCTTGCCAAACAGGAGATCACGCGCGCTCTGTACTTTGACCTGAGCGGTGGTATAAACGGGGCGGA